TCCAAATTTAAAATAAGCACTATGTAAATTAGTGGCATTTAGTTATAAAATCATCAAAGTGAATGAGATAGTACTTATCTGTATGTAGTCCATCCAAGTATAATTTCGCCCATTCTGGCTCCTCTTATTCAAATGCATTGCTAATTGCAAAAAATACTTCGACGCTCAAGTAAGTGTTTGTTCAGTAAACTCTCAATGCTCAAATTTTTCGTACCTTTGTTTGAGGCTCTGTTGGGTTTTTCCAGCGCTTCAAGCCCTTGGGTTCAACTCCACCTGCCTGGCTTTGCGCATCCCATCCTCCATTTCATAATCGTGGGCAGTCGTTGGTTGGGTTATGCCCTCCCTACCTTGCACTTCTCTAGTGGGAGGGAAGTCCAACTAATCCACGTCTTCACTTGCTTTTAATCATGTAAGTTCTGTCATGCCTTTATTCATTAACACTAACCTTGATCCGACATAGCTTCAATAGGTAAGATAGAAATTCTTCTCCAATGCAGTTCTTGAGCTCTCTCTCCAATGGGGTGAGATTTCTGTATGAGTAGGGTAATTGACTGCTAGGGAAGGGACCTCTATTTATATGCATTTACTTAAGTGTCTTGGCCATTAAGAAACACTTAAGTAATCCAGTTTGCATTAGAATTGGTTGTTAATTTTAATCCATATGGAATTAGGAATTCTCAAGGTTCTTATTTTCAATTCAAACACTCTTTTAACAAGAACTGCATAATGTTTAAGTCTATACTCCTAGATCAATGTAAACTGCCGAGTCCTTATGCCATTAGAAGATCACAAACATGGTTAAGACAAGATATTATCTTACAAATCGTGCCACATGAATTTGGCCATACTACGTGGGATTTGATTTTCGGTCCCCACAAGTGACGAGGGAACTAAAAACCATCTACAACCATCGATTAACTTTGGTTTGTTCCTTTGAAACTTTTCAAATGCTTGGCTGTTAGCTGTTTTAATATGGCTGTACTTTGTCCTTTAGTTTTAGTCTTTCAGAATCTTGCTTGGTGCAGTTGCGTGCAATTTGAGCAATCTTTACATGGTCTTCATTATTCCGCGTGAATTAATATTATTATCACCCAACAAATCAAGAGCTTTGCATTTAACAAGTGGTGTTGTAGTTGTCTGCATTTACTAAATATAACACAAACCTCATTTTCGAAGTCTCCAGATGGCACACGGTCGTCGGATTCCATCGTAAAAATGATTCTCGAAAAACCTAATAAAAAATAAAAAAGATTCTTGGGGTAAAAAAAATGATTGTTCATTTCACTCCAACTGATACGTCATATGTGATGTGGAAAAACAGCCCGTTTGATAACCATTTTAATTTTCGTTTTTTATGATAGAGTATAAAGGAAAATGAGAGTGAGAATGAGAGTGAGGATGAGATTGAGAGAGATGAGAGGATAGGAGGAAAAAGTAACAAAAGTGAAAACAATTTCAAATATATTTCAGTTTTTAGTTTTTGTTTTCACTTTTGTTACTCCTTTCTCCCTCCTCCCCTCTCATCTTCCCTCTCAAGCACTTAGGTAAAAAAAAAAAAAAAACAGAAAACACAAAACACAAAACGAGTAGGGTTCTCTCCATGCACATGTAGTAGTACAAAAATGTGCCCGGTTAAAACCCTTCAGCTTATGGGACTTGTCCTTGCCAAGGAAGTTAGATTGACTGTGTGCTCCAGATTTCTCTGAATACTGAATGCACATGCAGTATGGCAGAAGAGTCCCTGGGCTAAGCTATGCAGCCTGTTGTGAAATTATTGCAAGCGCACAATTCGTACAAGTAATATAGAAATAAGTAGAGTGTCGTTCCCACGAAGACTGTAATTTCCTATTAACTACCAATTATGATTAATTTAGAAGTTTATTTGAACAGTTAATTAAGAAGATTGATTGATTCAAGAAAACTAAAATAATTATGAAAAATAACAATTTAATTAACGATAGAAAATTAAGATGATGAGACACTAGAGCATCCGATTTCACCATAACCAATTCTACTTAATTCTTATAGCCAATTAACCCTAATTACTATCCCTGTTGACAGTTGGTTTCTCCTAATTCATTCGATATCCCCTCTCGGGCTCAACCAAAAGTATTCTCAATTAACAACCCATTCTCTCTCGAGCAACGGATTTAGAAAACTAAGAACCCATTAAGTTCTATGAGAACCTACAAGAAAACTGCATGAGTCATGTTAGTCCCTCTCGGGCACTCATTCAAGTCATGGTATTTGTTACAAGAAGCAAACACCAAACATCTCCTCTCGGTCTCCGCTTGGATCATCAATTAAATATTAGCTAGATATTTAAATCATTAAGAACAGTAACAAATACTCAACATGGGATAATAATAAGGAATTAATATAACTATAAAAATTGAGTATTCATGGTTAGGCTACATCGTAGCCCTAGCAAGGAAAATTAGTTCATGACAAAAGAAAAGATAAATAAGAGAATTGTTGTCATAAAACCGATTTGGCCGATGGATTTGATCTCTGGATTCTCCACAGCAACCACTTTCGAAAGCTCCTCAAGTAGTGCAGCAGCAAATTCTTGGCTCTCTCTAATATTTTTCTGGTTATATGAAAGTTGTGTATAGGAAGATGATGGAAAAGATGATCCTCCCTAGAGAGAACTTAGGGTGACCTTATATAGTGTAAAACAACTAAACCCTACTCTAAAAAGGTCTGGAAAAACTCTCCTAAAGCAAAACCAAATTCCAAACAATTAAGGAAACAAACTAGGAAAGAATCCTTATTTGACTTGGAAACACGTCAGCCAACTTGCACGCACGTTTTGGGGTCGTTCCACTTCCTAGAAAATTCTGGAAAAATATGAGAAACGTAGCTTTATCTCTAAGCTTTCCAAGCATATATTACACACCACTAGGAAAAATCGGAAAGATATTCAAATCTTCACTCTTCCACAGCAGTGCAGTTCTGACGGGATTTCAACTTAGGCTGTCTTGACTTGCAGGTCTGGAGCATTTGGCTTGGTAGAAAATTATGAAACTTTGATACAATGATCTTCAATATCTTAGCTTTCTTCTACAATTGGCCTTGCACTAAAATTCATTCGAAAAGTCGATTTTCATTTGAAATTCTTCCAAGAGTGCAGAATCGATGACAATATAGGAAGTATGGTAATAATGCTCTCTTTAATTAACTTTTCCTACAAAAACCAAATAAAAGAGGTATCAAAATATAGGTATAAAAAACAAAACAAAAAATAATATTCTGGCAAAGAAAGAATGGAAACTCCAGCTCCGAACTTCACCAATTCCATCAATCCCATGACTTCCATTACTTGACCCCTGGCCTCCTTCAATAATTTTCTTATGTCCCAGCTCTCTGTATTATGCAGGATTAAATATGGTGGTCCTCCTCATCTTCGAATTAAAGGTAGTGATTATAATATCTCTCAAATAAAAAATAATTTTTATTACAAATTGTCCTTGAACTTTCTAACTGCCTTAATTTTAGTCCTCAAACTTTCAAATTAATAAATTATCCTTGAACATTTGGAGATGTGCAAGCAATGCAGGTGACCTCCCCACCACAAAAAAAAAAAAAAAAAAAAGGGCAAACATCCACAATATTTGG